GAACCAATTCGGATCATTAATGAAATAATTGAGGATGCACATGAAAAGAATAAGGAGATATAGATTCTTTTTCAAGACCTCTCAAAAGCTTATGATTGTGTTAATATTTACATGCTAGAAAAAGCATTATCTCATATTAAAATTCCACCATCCTTCTGCAAACTTATTTTAAGCTTATTTACCAATAGGAAAATCAAATCTTCACAGAGGTGGGTAAAACAGAAGCATATGATGTTCTCATAGGAATCTACCAGTGTGAAGTAATATCACCATTATTATGGTGCATTTATTATGATCCCCTCTTGTGTGAAATTGAAAATAAAAAAATTGGATATAATTTGAATCATACATACAAACCTAATCTATATCAACAACAACAACAAACATACTTAGAGCAACCAATCTCATCCCTTGCTTTTATGGTAAGGATACCGGCTGCAACTTTTGATGATGGTTGCTACCACCTTTGCATCATATAAAAATGATTGCAACCACTGGTTGCAACCACCTTTATGGCCATTTTGTTTCCTTTTTTGGATTGCGACATGGAACACTAATCATCAGTAGGTGGTTCAAAATATTTATCACTATTTATAAATCTGGCACAAAGACCAACTACACTCTTTAGGTAATAATTGACATCTATCTTTTTGTTAAGTTTTTTTGCCACATCTGGGTATTCCATACAATCCCCTACTTTCCATAATATTTTCTTCCCATACTCATCATATTGATCTTCCCTTTCTACCACTATACACTCAAAGCGCTCACCAGGTTCTGGGATATTATAAAGATATGGATCAGGTGTTAATTCCTTTTTTATAAGCTGTTTAGATTCCTCAACCTCACGAGCATGATTAGATTTCATTTGAGAGATGAAACATTTAACAGACTTATTATCTTTATCGGGTTTCCATGCATAAGTTCGAATACATTCATTAATATCTATCTGAGATGAATTTTTCACCGCATTTTTAAGGATCTCTTCAACAATCTGGTATAATGTTCTATTATTATCGATTTCCGTAGATTCTTGCATAATCTCCTTACCTATTTTGCGAAAGAGCTTAGACTGCCCCCGTTTCACAATATCTACACCTCTAATAAAAAGCTTATCTGGATTTGGATCGAAGTTAGGTTCTTCTATATGTTGAATACCGTAATATTTTTTCTTACCTGTAAATACTACTGGGAATAAAACCTCTTCATAGGCCATTTTTAGATAAGTAGCTCTGTTATCTTTTTTAAGAAATTCATTTACCTCATCACAAAGCCCCCCCATTACTCTCATAGAAATTTTTACCATTTCATTCCAGTATTTTTCTTTTGTGATTCCATTTCCATTATCATAAGCTGTATCACATTCTTGGAAATACTCTTCTGGACAAACTAAATATAAAGAATCCGTATCTCCATATTTTATTTTGAAGCCTTTATTTTTAACAAAATCTGCTACAAGCTTAATGTTCCATTGACCAGCTGATGTAACTCCTCCAGCAAGTTGAAGCGAAAAGAAAGGTGATTCATTATTTCTGGCTTCACTGTAGAATGTGTTCATATAAACTTTTAAAGCAGTCTGCTTTGCATTTAAACAAGCATGATCGAAGCAGATGGAATTATATTCTACCATAAATTCATGGTTATTTTTATTAATAAACGGATGTAATTTTTTAATAAGTTTATCGCGATTTTTCTTTTCTGCATTTTCCAAGACATGTTCAATAGCTTCCAGTATCGTTCGCTCACCTTCTATGTTACTCAATATTAATTCCATATTTTCCTTTTTTTCGCTTAATGGGGCAAGACATTTCTTCATCTTATTTCGCTTCATAAGTAGTTCTTTCAATACTATTACATAAAGTCCTTCCATTTCTGATTGATTTTCATGTTTTACTGACCATGCAATAATATCACGACCATTGAACTCGAATTCAATCATATGGAGCTTCTTACCACTACGTGCTACAGATATTGCATGCTCATGGGATAAAATAATTTTATTGGGAGAGAGGTTATATGTCATAATAAGACTTGGATATAGTGATGCATAATCAAGACCGGTTACAGGGCGTTTATTTTCAAGTCCCTTTTCTGGTGGAAATACATATGCCCCAGGGTATTTACCACTTTCTGTTTGCTTTTGTGGAAACATGGTATTTAAAAATCCTAGCCCCCATGCCCGAATAGCTAAAAGATTTTTTACCTTCATTCCATCAGCAAAATAATGTGCATCAAATAAAGATAGAAATGATATAGAAACTTTCTCTCTATATTCATTGATTACATTATGCTTGACCATTAACCACTGACAGCTAAGGGCATCGTTAATGCAGTATTCAGCCACTTCACGCATCTGCTCAGCCGTTGTATTATTTGTTTCTTTTAATGCTTTTTCATAATATTTATTTATACGGTGAATAGGTAAATCCACTTTGTTGTTGAGTTTACACTTTTCTAAATAAAATCTAAGACTACTTTTCTCAGCTTTAGAATATAATTTTTTAAAACAGGGGCAGACGTCAATAGCCACACATCCAGGGATATTGAGATGTTTCAAATGGAAATTTGCATCGTTTATTTTTATCACATTATATTGATATTGCCATTTTGTAATTTTTTCAATACTTAATGACTCCGGTGACATGTGATTAAACATCCATTCAAGAATTCCTAAATTCTTAGCTTTTTCTACAACAAAAGGCCAATCATATTGCGAATCATTAAAACCTATCTGTATATCAGGAGCTAAATATTTCCAACATAATGCAAATGCCTTAAGTAAATTGGTTTGATTTCCACATATCACTGTGATCCACCTAGGATCTGGTTTCGTCTCCACATCAACTAAGCATATTTGCATCAATGAAATGGGATCATCTTTCCAATGTATAGTCATACAAATCATAAAAACCCAATCCTCTTCATTTTTCGCTATAGGTAGATCACCCATTCCACAGCTACTATGTGTTTCTATATCCCATGTAAGAACAAGTGTTTTATCTCGGAATAAAGCTGGAGCAATCAATGGGTTTTTATACTCATTCTCATCGATTGGTTTATATTCATCTACAGATACTCGAAATATGTTTTTATCATGTATATAATCATATAATGTCACCCAACTTACTTTCTCGATCTTTTCTGGAAACTGTTGACAAATAGCCACACATCCAGGGATATTGAGATGTTTCAAATGGAAATTTGCATCGTTTATTTTTATCACATTATATTGATATTGCCATTTTGTAATTTTTTCAATACTTAATGACTCCGGTGACATGTGATTAAACATCCATTCAAGAATTCCTAAATTCTTAGCTTTTTCTACAACAAAAGGCCAATCATATTGCGAATCATTAAAACCTATCTGTATATCAGGAGCTAAATATTTCCAACATAATGCAAATGCCTTAAGTAAATTGGTTTGATTTCCACATATCACTGTGATCCACCTAGGATCTGGTTTCGTCTCCACATCAACTAAGCATATTTGCATCAATGAAATGGGATCATCTTTCCAATGTATAGTCATACAAATCATAAAAACCCAATCCTCTTCATTTTTCGCTATAGGTAGATCACCCATTCCACAGCTACTATGTGTTTCTATATCCCATGTAAGAACAAGTGTTTTATCTCGGAATAAAGCTGGAGCAATCAATGGGTTTTTATACTCATTCTCATCGATTGGTTTATATTCATCTACAGATACTCGAAATATGTTTTTATCATGTATATAATCATATAATGTCACCCAACTAGAAAGAGGTAATCTTTTTTCACAGGCTATTTTTCTGTAATAGTACTTACAATTTAGATCATCAGATGCGGTTTCCATGCCAGATTCGCAAACTGCTTTCAACGCATTGTATCGATCATATTGATTCCAAGTTGTTATATGGATGTATGGTTTCTTTTCTGTATGGTAACCGCGAACTGGAAAAGCATTGATAATCTTGGTTCCAAAATTTGATGTTCTTTTGAGAGTTTTAGACATGATTTTAACTAAATTACTTTTAAATATAGCTAGTGGTTCCCCATCTGGGACAACAACATCGAAGAAAGGTTTGATACCTGTAATATCTACTCTAGCCGTCTGCCCATTAATCAAAGTGCCATAAATACGTAGAATATATGTAGATACCCCATTTATATATTCAGTGGCATCACTTACATCATTGGGCATGAAGTGTAT